TAGGATTAATGTTATTTTTATTTCCTCTCCCTCGTAGCTGAGGTCGCTTCAGAAATTCTAAAAGAAATCTCTGGTTATCTTTTTAGAAAGTCCTCTAAACCAAACCGTTCCAGCTGAGTTTTTCTTTAGAAAAAGACTTTTTTAGAAAACCTGTGTTTAATATAATTCCTCTCCGCAATGTCTTAGGCCATTTCACAAAAAATGTTTTTCTTTGTCATGCCAAATAGTCGGTCTTCCATATCTAAAACATAACCCTTTAAGTAAGTCTCCAATTCTTTGATCAATGTTGTAGTGAATCCATCAAGGCTTTTCGAATAACATGTTGCCTATGAATAAAGTAGTCTATTAAAATTATACTTACTTTATTTAAAACGCCTAAAAACACAACTTTTGTGAACACGAAATTAGCAATATTACATGTGTTTTTAAGTTTACTATGCTTCGTAAATCTTCACAGCTTTGTACATATGTGGCGCTAGTAGTACTGAACAGTAGTATAACAAAGAAAACTAAACGTCGGTTTTATGAAAATTATATGTTAGGGCCATTTTACCCGACTTTCCCCTATACGATTTACCCAACTCAAAACAAATACCTCCTGGTCTATAAACATTAAATATCCGCCTGTATGCACTATATTTTTATTAGACATGAAAACATAAGGTAACATACACAAAAATCATCTACGATATGAGCGACATTTCGCCTTTGAATATGAGTTCCCTATTTTCCAATCCGAACATTTTCTACTTCTATTGAAATCCAATTTTTGTTATTGAACCAGGTGTTCGGTTCACATCTATCAATTTCGATCTTGAAACTAAAAACTTTATACAGTATCGAGTTGCTCCGCTCCCTATAAATAAACTTAAAAAGTGTATACCACCATCATCAAACTAAAGTGGTGATATGATATTATCGGTTCTAAAAAAATAGAGTATTCAATTTCTCTGCCAAACAATACCACTTTGTAAATAAAAACAAAAAGAATATATATGTTACGAGCAAAGAAATTATTGTCCACTTTACCAAACCACCCCCAAACTGTACAATGTCCGAAATGATCAAAATTCAAAATGATTAATTGAATATTGATGTTTATTTTTAATAACAAATGGCGAATAATCGTACAGCAATTCCTTTATACTATAATTTACACAATATAAATAGTCCACATATAATTTACACAATACCAATTACTTACCACCAATAAAATCTATTCCACTAATTTTAGCATAGACACTTAATGACTTAATGATATCTCTCTTACACATACCCTTCCCCTTTATCCCCCTCCATCTCCTCCTTGGATCATGTCCACGCAAAAATTTATCACCTCGCTCACCAACCTTGATAAAAATAAACATCCGAAAGAGATCATTATAAATGCATTTAAAGACATTATAAATACAAATAATTACGACCTACTATTATACACGGATGCCTTAAAAAATGACACAGGAGTAGGCTGCTCTGTTACAACCTCTCATTCACTAATTAAGTCATCACTCATATCAGCCGTCAGCAGCGTTCATACTGGCGCATTATTTAGTATATTGCAAGCTTTTAACCATATCACCTAATAAACAGGTTGCCATATGCACAGATTCTTTAGCATCAATCCATTCTATCAAAAATATATTTACCGATCATCCAGTCGTCTAAAAGATACTAGACCCTTACCAAATTATCTTGTCCCAAAACATAACAGTTACGATAATTTGGCTGCCATCTCATATTGGTATAGAAGGCAATGAAACTGCAGATCACTATGCTAAACTTGCTACAGCATCACCTGAAATCACCGATAAAATTCAAATTTGTAAGGACCTAAAATCATATACTAAAAGAAGAACCAGATTCCTTTGGCAGCAGCATTGGAACTCTAACCGTTCGATCTTACACGAAATACAACCGTCAATAACCAGTCAGCCTACATTTGACTATTCAGTCTTCTCAAGACGAGATCTCATTGTGATAAGACGACTTCGGATAGGACATTCAAAACTCACACACGGCTACCTAATGTCCTCTAGCATCCGTCCCTCCTGTCGAAGCTGCCATTCATATTTGACAAGCAAACATATTCTCACTGAATGCCATCAACATTCGGCCAGAAGATTACAATACAAACTCGAAAAGTGAAGAACGAGATATCATAAACAACCCTGACCAAATAAAAGTTGTGCTACAATTCCTTATAGATGAACACTTATATCAAAAAATATAATTAGATTTTAATTTAGACATTGTGTAACATATTATTATCATTCCGTATTATTGTAACATATTCTTAATGTAACACTTAATGTTTGTGTAATGAAAACTCATAGTAGCCGAGCACGTTAAAGTTGAAATAAAAAAAAAAATCTTTTATACAAAGTCCGACGATTATGTCTATTTCGGAGATTGTACAGTAAAGGGGTACACTTTCAAAAGTGGACAATATTTTCCGTACAATGCTATAGTTTATTTTTATGAACGAGAGAGTAATTAGCATAATTTTAACTGGTACCTTCGACCACTCCATGGGCGTGCTCAAGATTAATTGAAAAATTACTTTGAATAATTGTAAAAAATAAATGAATTATTTTAGTGTTAAGTGTTATGTGTATGTAAACAAAAGTGACCTCTTTTATCACACACTATATTAGAACTGACTGGCCTACATTAAAAAGGGTTTTAAAAAATTCACATTTTTTTAATTTTTAAAAATTACAAAAGAGAAAAAGAGTTTTTAAAACCGTCTAAGGTATGTTAAATACATGAATAAAAATATTAATATAAAACTTACAGCTACTTGTTACAAATCCAAATCAGATTCAGAAGATGAACTTTCAGAACCAAGATTTATAATAACTGGCTCGATCATTTTATCAGTAATATTGTCCAGCTTCCACATTTTTTTCTCTTCTTTAATAGTGTGATTTACTGTCTTTTCCCAGTTTTCAGGTTTTACATTATTTACGGCCTCCAAAAACAACTGTTTAACATCATGAATTTTAAAAGTGGTATTTTTTCTTGAAACTTCACTCTTTATCTGTGCCCATACCAGTTCAATCGGGTTTAATTCACAATGATATGGTGGGGATCTAAGTACTGTCATTCCACGATTTTTGGAAATTTCATCAATTTCGTATTTTTAAAATTTTTCTTTATGAAGGGCACACAACGAATAAAGTTCCTTTCTTATAGATCCGGGATGGTACGTAATATTTTTTGAACTCAGCCAATTCTGCAAGTCTTTTTTTAACCACTTGGTTGTGGGCAGTCCTTCTATAAGTCTGGAGTGATAACTTGCATTATCCATTACTATTACACAGTTCTAAGGAAGAAGATCTATCATTTGTTCGAACCATTCTTGAAAGACATCAGCGTTCATGTCTTCATGGTAGTCACCGGTACGAGTTGATTCAAAAGTTAATGAACCACCTTCAACAAAACCGTCTGAACTGCCAATGTGTACTATTATCAGCCTGCGTCCCTTTCCTGATGGTGGGTTTAAACCAGTAGATAAGTTATTTACAAAAGCGTGCCTTTGACTTGTAACAGTTTCATCCTGCCAAAATTTATTTGGTGTATGACCCTCGTTGATCCATGTTTCATCAAGATAAAATATTTTTCTTTTTTGGTTTCTCATTTCCTTTATGGTTCTTAGAAAATGTCTTCTCCATATGACAATATCGCTTCTTTCTAATAAAATAGACTTTCTGGGATTCTTTTCCAGCGGAAGTTAAGTTTAAAAGTTTCCATAACGTACTTCGACTCATTTCTGGGTAATCCTTATCATCTCGAACTGAGACAAGAACTTTATCCCATGTTGGAAATTCTTGTCTAAAGAAGAATTCATGCACTTTCCGTCGAAGTCCTTCTTTAAAATGATATTCTATTTGAAATTTTCGTTTTCTTGGAGCATTACGTGGCATTTGAAAACTACCACATTTCTCTTCTTTAATAACTCTGTAAATCGTAGATTTCCCAACACCAAGTGTACTGCTAACTAACTCAACGGTCTCATCAACACTTTCACATAAACGTTTGTCTGTAAATGATTTAAAACAATTAAATATTAATGTTTTTTCATTAACTGTTAAAGGACCAATTTTTCGGCGTTTACACGGCACTTCCAAATTTTCCATAACACTAGTATACACAATAAACTGCACCTTGCAACTGAAGTACCTACTTTTAGTGAACTGTTAAGAATTTTGAATACGCCACTTGGACCTTCCTACAAAATGGAAAAACCCACTATCACATTTTCTGTGGAATAAATTTAGAAGGTAATTATCTAGTCAATTACTGTCGTAGATTCCTGGAATTAAAGAATTAAATGTTTGATTGTTAAAACCCTTACTTCGTGGAATGCACTCATTTCAGATAAAATAAAACTTTTTATTTTATCTAAAGAATTAAACTTTATTTTGCAAATAGGTAGGTACTTATTAAACTTTTATTGGTTATATATAACCAATAAAATAAACATCTTACATTTCTTGCAAATTCATTAGTACCTGTTAACCTCCATCACTCCGACACTGGCAACCTTATTTAGGGATTAGTAACCCTCACAACTATGGTATTCTATTCTGCTCCAACCTTTATACCTGGTGGTCATACTCAATTTAAAATTGTTTTCCTATATACTTCTGTAAACTTGTTGACAAATATCTGTTTTTCATTGAGTCACCCGTATCAACAGTTTAGCGATTTGCATACATAATTTATTGTTTTATTACTCTCTCATACATAAAAATACACTATAGGATTGTTTCGGATACTGCTCGTAACATAAAATTGTAAAGGGGTATTTCTTTCTTAAGAAACTATGAGTATCTGGAAAACTGTTTTAGTTTTAGATAAATGTCAAGACGTTCAGACGTTGACGTGTCTTTGAGTCTGTCTTCTGGTACAAATTCATATTTTAAGGCATATTTGTAAAATTATTTACTCTATAATAAACTATTTGTATCTTATCATCCAACATATCATTGTTACAGAGTGGGTCAGTTGACTGGATATGAACCTCAAGATCTTATAGAAAAAACCCTGTACCATTACGTCCACGGCAGCGATATCTTAGCGCTTAGGCTCTCACACCATCAATGTAAGTATTCTTTTGATTAATAATAGAGTAATGTTACAACGATTGCATAAACGTCATAACAGAATAGTATTTAAGGGACGATTTTCATATTTGGTCCCATTAAAGATAGCCTCAAATTAGCTGTCAATTAAGTTTCACAGAACGAAATATTGCGTTGGCAGTGTTGCCATGTTCTTATAATGTATATGTTATATGCTTCAAGTACAAAGAGATAAAGCTTTTAAAAGGTACATTTTTATACCTTATATAAAATATTAATGAAGTAAAATTTGTTTCGTTTGATATTAGTTGTAATAAATTATTAGAATTTTTTTTGGCAATTGCCCTCTGATAGGTTAGCGGATAGATTTGGCAATAGAGTCAAAACCCTCAAACCACCAGCTGCCAGATTGCAACAGATGCCTTTTAAATTTTATTATTTATACTGACATTTTACTATTTACTGTTAAAAACTGTTTTAAAACTATTTACTTTTTCTTTTTTTCGTAATCGTTACATATTAGTTTTTAAATATGTTATTGCTTTTAATTGCGTATGTTTTATTTGTAATGTAAATTTCAACACTGCGAAACACCAATATTTCATTATGTCAAACCCATTTGAAGCTAACTTCAATGGGACCAAATGTGAAAATCGTCCGTATTTAAGTATTCAGATGTTTATCACGTATAATCATTAATGTTAGAAAATCTTCTTCTTCTTCTTCATTCTAGTATGTAGGCTTTAAAGCCTGTTTCTTCTTCAATATTAGCCTCCTAAATTGCCGCACCATCTTTTTCTTGGTCTGCCAATACTTCTTCGCCCATTTGGTGACTTATCTCGTGCTATTCGTACTATGCTATCCTCTGCCGTTCTACTGATACGTTCGCGTTCGTTACACTTCTGTTTTCGTTTTGTCAACCATCCATTTATCTCTTCTATTTTGCATGCTCTTCATATGTTTTCGCTTCTTTCCCTATCCAATAGACTTCTCCCTGATATTCGTCGGAGTATTTTCATCTCTGTTGTTTCTAGCAGTCGTGTCGTTTTAGATGTGTCAGGTCTTGTCTCCGCCGTGTATGTTAATATAAGTCTAATTGCTGCTTTATAGATTCGTGTTTTTGTGTCTTGTCTTAGGTGTTTGTGCTTCCAGATTGTGTCATTAAGAGAACCCGCCGTTTTACTTGCTTTTAAGCTTTGTTGTCGTACTTCTTCTTCAACATCTTCGTAACTAGTTATATCTATTCCCAGATATCTAAACCTTGCTTCCTGCTTTATTAGTTTCCCATAAGTTTCGATTTTACACCGTAGTGGGTATTTAGAGATGTTGTCATACATTTGGTTTTGTCTGCTTATATTATCATATTGTATTTCTTAGCTGTTGTATTGAAGATATGTGTTAATCTTTGGAGCTCGTCTTTGGTCTCGGCGATTAATGCGGCGTCGTCTGCATAACATAATATTTGGATTTCTTTGTTCCCCATTCTGTAGCCATGACCTTTACGTACTGCTTGTATTATTTCGTCCATTATTATATTATGTTAGAAAATAAGTTTTAATATTATTGAACTTGTAGTTTATTTTTGATAAACGGTAAAAAAAGTCATTTAGTACCAAATCAGGAGGATAAAAAATGGATCATCTCCTTACCCGCAAATAACTTTTATTGGATTATGTTGAATATAATCAACTGCATTGTAGTTTCGAAAAGATTCGTAATATTCATAATTTTTTACCTCGCGATTAAGTTTTCAACATTTCCTTGTAAGGATCTGCTTAAGCTTTTTTGCAATTATTATCAAATTGTGTAATATGTAAGAAAATAACTAAAAATATATCTGCTAGTTGTATATATGTATATAAAGTAGTGAAATAATTATGGATACCGTTAAACCAACATTGTAATGTCTGATGACTTACTGATGTACTCACATTTAATTTGCATCTACTTTTCAATAACCTTTTTTGTTTCAAATTTAAACCAATCTTATTAATTTTTTTTCTATTTACAGTGCTTTGTAAGGGTCAAGTAACCACAAAATATTACCGGTTTCTTTGCAAAGGAGGTGGATGGGTTTGGATGCAAAGTTACGCGACGATAGTACATAATTCCAGATCTTCCAGACCACACTGTATTGTCTCCGTTAATTACGTTTTAAGGTAAGTTGGGTATATTCATCAACTGAATCAATCTTAACCTCATTACAAATAGTCGTACAGGATACGAGTGCACGTAAAGCTGTCGGTCCCGGATACATAGTCGTTAACAATAAAACCTGACTCCTAACCTGCATTATAGAAACAAACTGCTTCTAAAAAAAGTTATATCATTATTGGTCCATAAGATTTTATTTTTGTTTTATTTTATGTTTGTTTTAAATTTATTTTATAGCATGATTGTTTTTCTTGCAGTGATTTTGAAGCCAAAGATCTAACCCTAAACCTTGCGCAAGGTACACCGAGAGAGGATATTCCCGCCTCTCCACGAAGCCCGATACACCCCCCTACCAGGAGCATTTCATCACAACCTAAATACACTCCTACACATCGCATTCCTGCCAACATTATTCCTTCACACCCACCTTCCATACCTGACGACGAATTCAGCGATTCCAATGGTGCGATTACGTATCCTTCGCTCGAATACTCATCAGGTTTTATCCATTACCACACAGAAGATCCATATTATCAACACCAAGATATGTTTTACCCTTATTCCGACCCGGAGATCAGCCAACACATGTTAGGAACACCACAACAGCGGCCTTTTAGTGCCTCCAGTTCGTCTTGCAGTTCCTCCGAAAGCGAACTTCATTTACAGAACTTGAACAGCAATAATTTTTGCCCGGAAGCCCATAGTTTTAGCATCAACTGTTTCAATAACAATCCAGCGAGCCAAGCGGCGCAAAACTGGCAGGGGCACGAGTTCAAGCCTTTGATTGGCCAGGGGCACGGTGCAGGATACACCAGTGTGATTGTGGATGCTCAGCAGTATCAGTTAGCGAACGAGTACGTTCATTAGTAACGGTCAATCAATAAAAAGCTGCCTCAACTGTGACAAAAATATTCCGTACTTCATGCTTAATATAATTGTAAAGAAGTTGCATTGACTGGTTCTCTGTAACAGTTAAGGAAAATGGATAATTATGTATCAATAATTCAGTTTTGATAATTTCAAATTTAAATTTCAAAAGCCTTTTATGTACATTAAGTGCAAAACTGACATGGTCTTACAATTATACTCTATTTATCCATAATATCTTATAATATTCATTTTTGGACAAACAGAAATTTCAATTTAGTGCTATTTTGCCGTCTGCTTTCAGAGTATTCCTGTAGATTTTCACTTGATATGATCAGACTATGCTTCCTTTAAAAATATGTAACACATTTCACTAAGAAGTTTAAATATTATTTTATCAAATCTGCTATTTATATTTAATACAAATGTATTTATGTCAAAGTTCAGAAGTATTTTTATTTGTCAAGTGCTAATCAAAATATCCATTGTAACATGTTGGCGACATGAAAAATTATGCTGTTCAAAAACTTACGACTGAAAATTTGATGATTCTGTCAAATCATTTTTTCTCCAACTTTATATTGTATAATATTATTTAAAGAGGATAATTTATCGTATATTTTAGTGATATTATTTAGAAAGAAGTTTTCTTTTTTAACCTTAATCCAAAATTTGGTGAAGTTATTATTACAATAGATTGGGCTGGTTCCCAAAATATGTTTTCATATTTAATCTAGTTCATGTGTTTTCTGAGATGTTCTACAAGTTTTGTAGCAACAGTCTAGCTGATATTTTTATTGAAGAAAAAATCGCGTTAACTAAATAGACTAAATTAATAATTAAAAACGGTAACTTTTAGGTATAATTACATATTTCACATAAACAAAATATATTTGATGGGTTAAGCCTTGTATGACCAATTAGTAATCGAGGTATTACCAAATGGTTTCTTCTGTTTTGAGTTGAAAAGTTCTGGCAATACTATCATTAGATTCTTTCTCACTAACCAGATTCTTATATTTATTAATGAATGAAGAAACCTTGTATTAAGGATACCTCTTAAATCTCCCAAAACACTTTCTACCATCGTTTACTAGGTTGCTCTTTCTTTCTTTTCCCTATTAGTCATATGCTCACGATTATCTTTGACATTGTGTACCTATCATTTGCACGTACCCTAAACATCGCAGTTGTGTGCTATTACGAAATAAGACCTATTTCCAGTCCTTTTTGCTTCTAGATTTCTCTCAATCCATTTCTCTCTCACTTCTTTCACTGCCACAGGTTACTGTTGGTTTTATATTATAATAGTTTTATAGAATCTCCCGTACTTGTTCTTTCCTTTCGCTATTCGAGCTTTTAACTCGTCAATATTTTGACATTTTTCATCGATTAATACGCCCAAATAGATAAAATTTGGTACTTTTTCAAATGTATATTTTGTTCCTTCGTCGTTTGTAAATCCCCGATAATCAGAAAATGCCACTGAACCTTTAAAAATCATACGAAAAAGCTGAATTTTGTTGAAAATTTCAATTTTCCAAAGTTGATTCTTAATAAACGATCACACGCAGTTTTTAGAAATTTTACGGGCGCACTGAATCAGTTTTTTTGTTGCTTTTAATAACAGTAAATGTAGATAGTGATCATATACAGTTGATTTGTTTACAGTTTTTTAGTTCTTTCATCATCATCAACATCATCATAAGTTGCTCGACGATCCATTATGGATCTTGGCCTGTTCACAAAGATATCGCCACTCCTGTCGATTCCTGGCAACTTTCCTCCATGTTTTGACCCTTAGAATCTGTAGGTCTTCTTCCGCATCATTAATCCATCTCCTTCGTGGTCGTCCTCTACTTATTGTGTCCTCTGGTTTTGAAAATAATTATCTCTTCGCGTATTCGTTACCTGACATCCTTACAATGTGTCCAGCCCAACTAAATCTCTGCATTTTAATGAATTTCACAATATCTGGATCGGTGTATAACTGATATAGTTCAAAGTTGTATCTTCGACGCCATAGCCCATTTTCATTTACGGCTCCAAAAATCTTTCTAAAAAATAGAAAAAAACTGCACTATACTTTTAAAACGCATCTTGATTTTTGTCAATAGGACACTTGAATCAAAAGATATCGAATTATTACCATCGAGCTGATACAAATTTTATTGAACATTGATTTCGCGCCTGTAACTGACATTCAAAATTGACGGTCAGTTTAATCGTTGTTTCTGATAAAACGGTTCATTCTACACAAAAAATGCTAATATACATTTTTGTATAAAATTATCTCAGCTGCATTTTTTATTTGAAACATTTTTTTCTGTGGCGTACAGATTCTTGGTAAATCAATTTTTTTACGCTTTTAGGGGTAAGCCCGGGGGTAAAAGTGGTAAACTTTTTTCCATTTTTTTTGGGGTTCCAAAGTTGATATACTAGGCAAAATTCAGCTTGTTCGTATGATTTTTAGAGGTTAGTGCCCTAAGTATGAAATATTTATTATTTCGTATCCTAAACTACATTCATTTTACATATTATTACCAATTGTCAACAGAAAGCCAAACTGATTCGTACTGAGGTAACTATTAGTGTAAGAATTTCTTAAAATTTAATCATTAAATCACAATTAAACTAAACTCTAAAAAATAACACGACCAGCAAATAACTTAACAATAAGAGAAAAAGTATTATGCACTGGTTTTCTAGCTTCTTGTCGTGTTCTAGAAAGGATCGTAAGCGGGCATCACTGAACCGCGGGACACTATCCCTTACCGTATCTCAAATCTCGGCGGATTCGCTCGCGAATACATATTCAAAACCGCACTAACTTTTTAAATACAGTTGCGTAATGTTGGAACCAACTCCATGACTGGTCTGTGGCTCTAATTTAGTAAACGAGTTGGTTGGCCATCGTATTGACTCGATGGCGAAGCCGAATCTTGAATTATTTGGTGTTGAAGAATCTGTTGCTTATTATTTTTGTGCAATAAACGCAGGGCATAGGTTTCTTAAAAAGAAGTCTTCTTTTGATAATATCACTAAAATATTTGGTTTATTTTCAATGTAATATACGTAACTCACTTGAGACTATACACGTATTCCTTATTTTTATGTATCATATTTATTATATATTCTTATACCCTGAATATCGTGCCATGATATGTTCGGTAAATATTTTATTTTTTTATTTACGTATTTTTATCAATACAACTCTGTCATATATGTTTTTAAGTAAAAGCAACTTTTATACTTTTATTGTAGCGTATAAATTCGTGGACAAGTAATAATATACACTCTTGTCATCTATAATCGTCTATCTTTTCTATTTATTTCTGCTGTCATATTACTACTATGTTTATTTTTGCGTACACTCTCTCTTCTTTTTGGAAACTCTCCACGGAGCTACTATTATTTTTTTCAAAATAAGCAATTTTTAATATTCTGAATATTTTACCTTTATTTCATTTCAGTATAAATTTTCCCGTTATCTTCTAAGTAAGAGTGTATATATTACAATGGCCACGCGAAATATTTAATGGTTTATATATTTATATAGATATGACAATAATTTTTGACTGTGAATAGATTGTACATAGAAAAGATTGTAAAGTAATTTTTAAGCAACTATATATTATTGTATTATTATTATATTATTATTATTATGTATTTAATAACTGTCTTATCCAACCAAATATAAGTTTTATGTTATTTTAAAAAGTCTTTTATTCGTTATTCCTATTAATTTTGAGTTAATAGGCAAGCAAGTGAAGCAATCTAATTTTTTGTAGTTGGATGGACCGGAATGAAACTTTTTAAATTTGATTCGTAAGAACGTTAAGAAATTTCTAAAGTGATGGTGTTAAAAGGAAAATTACATTATTGAGCAAGGAAAATACATTTAATATGTATACGTAATTCGAAAATAATTGACGGAAATGCATTCAATATTATAACTATAGGGTTTTGAAGTCGCTGAACACGAATAACATAATGGCGATGGTTCTGTCCACTGTCCACTATCCACTGTCATGATATTCGTGTTCAACGACACCAAAACATCCCGAATAATGAGTTTGCACTGATGTTGTATTGATTTTCCATATTTCTAGGAGGCGAGTTTCTCGGAGATCATCGCCGTCATAATATTCATATTCAGAAACCCCAAAAATCCCCGAGTAATAATATTTAACTTACTTCCATCAATTATTTTCGAATTATAAATTTACCATTTTTTACCACTTCCAAATGCACTTTGGAAAATGTATTTCCTTTGTTCAATAATGCAATTTTCATTTCGACACCACTACTTTAGTTCACAAAATTTCCTAACGCTTTTACAACTCGAATGCAACACGTTTCATTGAGTTTCATCCAACTGCAAAAAATTGGAGGTTTTGTGCTTTTCACGGCTTCATTGCCTCGCTTATGTGGCAACCCCTCCATCAGATTTAATGGTAATATGTACTGGGAAAATTACATGTTGTACTCTGAAGCAAATGATGACAAACCAGAAACCAGGCAAGACAAGGATGAACGAGTTGGAATAATGGATATATTATATATACACCCATTTACAAAAGTTAGGAATTTGGACAAATAATATATCTAAGCCTATGGTGGCTTCATAACTATTGTTGATATTCATTCTAGAGCGTTTTTAAATGAAAAAAATTGTATCGGTTTTGAATCAATTTGGTCACATTCAACTGATTCGAGTATTTACACATTATTTCAATATTTGTTTAAATTTAATTTGAACCGTTTAAAATGCCTAGAAATTACGTGAAGAATCGCCATAGAAGTGACAGAAGCCAACGTGAAACAGCAGCACACTACTGACGGATAACACAGCTCGAAGAAATCGTCTGGAATCTGTCAGTGGTATATGAAGATAAATTGCTAGGTTTCAAGACTAAATATTTCACGGCAAACAATAAAACGCAGACTAAATGCGTAAATTTGTACAACTTTTTCTAAATTTCTAAAGTATAACTTTT